TATGTTTCATTATGTTTCATTATGTTTCATTATTTTTCATTATGTTTCATTATGTTATATTATGTTATATTATTTTATATTATGTTTCATTGTTTCATTATGTTTCATTATGTTTCATTATGTTTCATTATGTTGTATTATGTTTCATTATGTTATATTATGTTATATTATGTTATATTATGTTTCATTATGTTTCATTATGTTTCATTATGTTTCATTATGTTTCATTATGTTTCATTATGTTGTATTATGTTTCATTATGTTATATTATGTTATATTATGTTATATTATGTTTCATTATGTTGTATTATGTTTCATTATGTTTCATTATGTTATATTATGTTATATTATGTTTCATTATGTTATATTATGTTATATTATGTTGTATTATGTTTCATTATGTTGTATTCTGTTTCATTATGTTTCATTATGTTATATTATGTTTCACTATGTTTCATTATGTTATATTATGTTATATTATGTTTCATTATGTTGTATTCTGTTTCATTATGTTTCATTATGTTATATTATGTTTCATTATGTTGTATTATGTTTCATTATGTTGTATTATGTTTCATTATGTTGTATTCTGTTTTTTAAATGTTGAGATGCGCAGCAGCTGTTAACCTTCATAAATAAATAAAATGAGAATAAAATCAACAGAAACTAAAATGTGTGAATTATTTTCATTTACGTTTTTAGTTTCTCTTCCTGGTGAGTTATTACATCATCAGTTTCTACAGAAACAAGTCTGTTATCACAAACGTCTCCTCCTCCTCCTCCCCCCTCCTCCTCCTCTTCATCATGTCATCAGTTCACATTGTGAGTGTTTCAGTTTGTGAAGAGAGATAACAGTTTATCTGAGTCGACAGTTATTTTCTCAGCAGCTCCACTAAACTGCTGTTAGAGAATACTTCTATGTACTACTCTGTACTTCTTAATACTACCCTGTACTTTGTTTTTACTTCTCTGTACTTTATTATCATTATTATTATTATCACTGTGAACAAACATCGACTTTAAACTCATTGAATAAACAAACTGCGCAGCATTCAAACGATGATGACGACGATGATGATGATGATGATGATGATGATGATGATGATG